GAACTGGAGTTACAGACAGTTGTGAAAAGGAAGAGACCCCAGTTCCGCATGACCCACAGCAGTGCTCAGCTGGCCTTCAGACGACTGAGATTTACTCTACAAGGTCAAGCACAGCAGCGGCACTCTTCTCGGACGTGTATTCACACTACTCTCAGGGTGACTTTGTCAGGTCTCAACTCCAGCCCACGAAGTAACAGCTCCCACGCTATCACCTCCTGAGCCTGCTTGTCACCAGACTTCCTCATCTGACTGCCCAGTATCTTCCCTTGGGCTTATACTAGGCCTTGCACAATGAATGTGAATGAAACTGAACCCAAGCCCTGACTACGCTACAGTCTCCCCCTATTTTTTTGTTTCCTGAGACAGGGTCTTATGGAGGCCAGGCTGATTCCAGAGGATAACTCTGACTGAACTTCTAACCCTCCTCCAGTCTCCACCTCAGGAATGCTGGGATTAGATGTGTGCCACCAGGTGTTTACGCAGTGCTGGGGATCAAACCCAGGCTTTACGCACATTAGGCAAGTACTCTATCAACTGGGCCACACCTCCAGCTCTCGTCCCCCATTTAATGACAACTCCATTTCTACTTGTTCATTCCTGACACTTGGAGTCACCTCTGACTGCTCTCATCCTCTCACAGTCCATATCCACGTCAACTCATCCACAAAGCCCACTGGCTGAGCTTCAAAACATATCCCAATGCATTTTTCACCGAGTGTGGCAATGCCCTCCTCATACCTTTTTTGCTTCTACTCTGGCTCCCTCTCTCCTCCACACAATCCCAGTGGGTCCGCCAAAAGGCAGGCTAGACTGTATCCATCCTCAGCTCAGATGCCTCCCTCCCTCATCCCATGAAAACCAACATCCACACAAAGGCCTGCGAGGCCTTCCCTGACCTGCCCAGTGTTTCCTCCCACACCCGACACCCTTCCAAACTCATTCTCTCCACCCACGACTCACTTACCCCCTCTCCAGCCACACTGTGTTCCTGGCTGGTCCCCAAACCTGCCAAAGGTGTTTCTCCTTCCAGGGTTTGACCTTGCTTATCCCGTCACCTACACCACTGTGACCTCAGTCACGTGACCCATGCCGGCTCCTCTTTGGGATCTTTATACAGGAACTAGCACACCTGTAATCCCGGCACCCAAGAGGCTAAGGTAGAACGGGGTGTCAATTTGAGGCTAGCCTGAGCTACAATATGAGTTCCAGAAAGCCTGAGCACTAAGCAAGTGTGAGACCTGCCTCCCAACCCCCAAAAAAGAAGTGCTAAGATTACAGGCATGAATAACTGTTCCCTAAAACTCATTTAATTATATTCTATTTAACATAATAAATATAAAATTTTACCATTTATAGCATGTATTTATAGATTACATTTATATGATTTTACTAGAATATAAAAACATCAGTGTAAGCCAGGCAGTGGTGGCACACCCTTTTAAACCCAGCACTCGGGAGGCAGAGGCAGGTGGACCTCTGTGAGTTTGAGGCCAGCCTGGTCTACAGAGCTGTGCAGCAAGGGCCACACAGAGAAACAATGGCTTGGGGAAAAAAAAAGTGTACCATTTCAGTTTTCATACTGATTCTTCAAAACCTGATGTATTTGACATTCACGGCTATACCAGGGATCGATGGTCCTATATGGTCAGTGGCCTCCGTACTGAATGGCCAAACTCCAGAACGATGCCTGTAATAACGTAGGAGTCTGCGAATGTCCACTGAAGGAAGGTATTTTCCTAGGGCAGAAGCGATGGTTTGAATGTGTTCCCCAAAGTATATGTGGTGGACATTTTACCCCCAGTGCAACAGGGATGGGAGGGGACCTTTAATCGATTAGGTCACGAGAGCTCCAGTGCTGACAGGACACAACAGCATCTGTCACCAAAGGCTCCTAGTCCTGTACGCATGCTCTCACCTTCTGTCATGGAAAGACACAGCAGGAAGGCCCTCCATCTCAGACTGCTCAGCATCACCCCCAAGACAAACTTCAACCGTTTATAAGTTATCCTGCTTGTGGGAGTCTGTTATGGCACCACAAAATGGACTGAAACAGTGTAGTAGTGCAGGCAGGATTTTCTCAACAAGGTCAGCGACACTGGACATTTACAATGTCTTTGCTGACCCTATTCTATTTTTTTCTACATGTCTTTTCTTTCTTTCTTGTAACTCAAGCTGTACCTGAACATCTGAACTTGTGAGCAATCCTCTTCCTTCTGCCTCGCAAGTGCTGGGATTACAGATATATGCCACTTATACCCACCCAAACAGCACACTTTTTATATTTGAGAACTATTTTTAAGTGACACTTTTTATTGCTTCTATGAATAAAAACTAATAGGTCTGGGAACAAAAAAGCCTATGTGGAAAAGATGGCTCATCAGGTAAAGGTGTTTGTCAGCAAGCCTGACAACTGGAGCTCCACTCCCAGGACCCACATGGTCGAAGGAGAGAACCAACTCCTCCAATTATGTATTAGTTCTGGAATCTAAAGTCAGCACTTCAGTAAGCCTCAGTTTCTTCCTCCGCAGAATGAGAGCCATGCATCCTTCACAGATCACAGGTTGAATGAGATGCTGGACCAGGCACAATGGTAATGAATGCCTGCAACCCCAGCACCTAGAAGGGAGAGCCAAGGGAGTCAACCGATCCTAAGTTCCTTAGCAACACAGCCAGTTCGAGGCTAGCCTAGGCTACACCTACCTTGTATCAAAAAGCCAAGAGACACAATGAGAGCCTGTCTCAAAAGAAAGAAAAGAAAGGTTGAACATAGTTTTAATTTAATTTTAATTTAACACAACTTTAATTCCAGCACTTGGGAGACAGAGGCAGGTGGGTCTTCGTGAGTTCTAGACCAGCCAGGGCTACATAAGGAACTTCATCTCGAATAAGTAAATAAATAACCAAAAAATAAAAATAAATGAGATTCTGGTATAAGTTTTTTGCAAATGGGAAAGTAATCACTAAGAGAAAGAGAGATGTGGTGGTGCAGGCCTACCATCCCTCAGGGGACAGAGACAAGAGAGGCTCAAGTTCAAGGCTGGCCTGAGCTACAGGAGTTCGAGGCCACCCAGGGAAACTTACTGAGATTCTTCTGTCTCAAAAGAAAAAGAAAAAAAATTACAAAATGAAGGGCATGGCTAACTCAGTGCAGGGTGCGAAGTTCAACAACAAAAACAAAATGAAAGAGAATGCCAAGCCAATCCCAGCCTGTCCCTCAGGCTCCTTGCTTTCCCACAGATCAGTAACACAGAGCAGAGCCAGCGCCACTGACCAGAGAAAGAGAGAAAACTTAAGGTCAAACCCCTTCTTCACCACATCCAGCAGTAGGACCTTTAAAAACTCCCTTATTTCTCAAACACTGACCAAGTACTCGCAACATACCAGGCGTGAGGCTAGTAGCCAAGGAAGCCACATAAAATAGGATCACTGCCCTTGAATGATTTACAGTCTATCAGGAAGATGAGTAAACAAGGAAGAAAACCAGAACAAGTCAAGCTGGGGCTGGAGAGATGGCTCAGCAGTTGAGAGCATTTACTGCTCTTCCAGAGGACCAAAGTTTAGTTCCCAGCACGAAAGTCCATCGGCTCACAACCACCTGTAGCTCTCTTCTGGCCTCTGTGGGTACCCACACCCTACATATGGCACACACACACACACACAGACAGGAACACGCACACACATAAATAAAAATAATTGTGTTTTAAGCCAACTCTCTTAGCTGTTTGTCCTCTGTGAAGTGGGAAGGACTTCTCAAGACTGCTACAAAAATTAACTTTCTTATGTTTGTCACAGACCCCGGAGTCTTCAATTCCTAATGTATTAATGCAAAGTACTTTTTTCCCCTAGTGACCCCTGAGTCTGGCTTCTGTCAACGTCCCATTTGAACCCTGGCTTCTTTTCACTGCATTCATAAAACTCATTTCACTTCTGCAAAGTTTAGTAAATGTAAAGGGAAAAAGGATGGCCTGTTGGTCTGTTTAGGTCATAATCGTGTAGCCCAGGCTGGCCTGGAACTTGCAGCCATCTTCATGCCTCAGCCTGGAGGATGAACAATCTTAAAATGGGTAATTTAACCTCAAAAAGTATGATCTAGGTCACAGTTCTAAGGAACACAACAGAAACTTCTCCGTCACCCCATCTAGTCACTGCTGGTCAAGATAAGAAGTCACGTGGTAAAGGAAACTGCGTAATTTAAGCCTAAGACGGAATGTCTAAAACAGTATCGGTAGACTTTCAACTGTCCAAGACTTAAAGCAGTCAATGCGTTGCTGAGGTAACGCTGGTCCAGGTCGCTGACAACAGTGGAGGTTGAAAGTCATGCTATGATCCCAGCAAAGCACCTACACGTCTTTAATTTTTTTTTTTTTTTTCTCTCGAAGATGAGCCGATTCGGGAGCATCTCAAAGAAAGATGATCTCAAGGGCTAGGCTCCCAACAAGTGGAAAACCCTATGCAAACAGGGCAAAGTGGGTGTGACCAGAGTCAGCCGATCAAGACTCGGGGATCCCTCCTGAAGTTTAAAAACTGAACGGGACCGAAATCAAAGTCTCAGGTCGCCATCATCTTCAAAGAGGACAGAAGGAAGAGACTCTCGGAATGGGGTCCAGGCCGCATCGTCCAGATTTTTTCTCCCTGTCGCTACAAGCCAGACGCCCACTCCCAGGCAGCCCCTTCCAGGGAGCTTGCGGGTCTCCCGGGCCGAGGTCGGGCCCCCTCCACAGACGCGGCTCCTCCGCACCGCAGGCGCCCCAGGCAGGGGGTCCCCTTCCGGAGGAGCCCGCAGCTGGCGACGCTCGCCGGGCCCAGCGCCCACCCGGCTCGGGCGCGAGCCGGGACACCCCTCCTCGGAGGCCGGAACCGCGCGCCAGGCCCCTCCCACAGGAAGCCGCCGCCCCCCGGCGCCCGCCCCGCGCCGCCCCCGGCCCCTCGCGCCGCCCGCCGCCCCCAGCCACCCCGCGCCGCCCGCTCGCCACCGAGCCCCCAGCGCCCGCGCCACCTACCTGCAGCGGCCACACCAGCGGCGCCTAACTCCGCTCCACTTCCGCCTTCCAGCGCCCGCACTCGGGCCGGGTCACGTGAGCGCGCGCGGTCACCTGACCCGGAAGAGGCTGGCCGGGGCGGGCAGGTGCGGACCACCTAAACCCGGGGCTGCGAGCTTTTGACCTACTGAGGTCCGGGTTGGAAAGGACCTCTTCCTCCTGGGCTGTGCCCGAGCAGACGCAGACACTGGAGGCTCACCGGGCACCAGGGGCTTTATTTATTCCTTTGGAAGTAGGTAGAGTTGTTTCCCTCCGTGTGTACGTATAGGTGGGAGATGACCATCCGGTCAGTTAGGTCAGCGAGTCTTTCGGGGAGTACTGGATAAAAAAAAAAAAAAATAGTATGCTAGCCGGACGGTGGTGGCGCTCGCCTTTAATCCCAGCATTTGGGAGGCAGAAGTAAGCAGATCTCTGTGAGTTCGAAGCCAGCCTGTTCTACAGCGTGAGTTCCAGGACAGCCAGGACCACACAGAGAAACCCTGTCTCGAAAAACAAACAGGCCAACAAAAAAAACTTGCTAACCAAAAAAACAGTATGCTCCCCCAAATTTGAGTGCTGGACAAACCGTGTAACTAATAACCACGTCCCCAAATTTGCAAGGGATGTATTGACCCCACAAAGGTATGCTGGTCAAACGTAAGCATCTCGTCTATTTGGTAATGTTGGCACCCTGTGCCAGCTGTATGTTAGACCTTGTTCTCAGTTCTAGAAGTATAAACGCCCTGGCCTTTGTAGAGCTTCTGTTCTTGTTCCAAGAAGAAAAAGTGGAAAAGGGGAGGCAGGGCGCCGCACACTTCAAAACTTCACCCAAGTCCAGTCTCCATTGGGAACCAACTCCCGTTTCCTTCCTGTGTGGAGTAAACTGGACCTTATGAATTAGCAAACAGGGCCTCTGTAACCCCGGCTGACCTGGAACTCAATGCTGTCCTCGGCCTCCTGATTCCTGGCATTGCGCGAGTGCCTCACCACAGCCTGGATGCAGAGACTTTCTGGGTTTTACAGGACTGAGGGTTGAACTCAGGACCTTGCTCTTACTCGTCAGGGGTGCTACTACTGACCTGTGTTGCCAGCCCTTTTGTTACCTTTCTAGTTTTTATTTGGAGCAGGGTCTTGCTTAAAGTGCTCTAACTGGCCTTGAACTTTTGGTTCTCTTACCTTAGCCTCTGAGTAGTTAGGATTACCAGCTTGTGCCGGTGAGGGGAGGAGACAGGTTGAATCATGGTTTCTTGTAACCTAGGCTGGCATCCACCTCCCAGCTGATTGTTCAGATAACAGATGCATGCCACCCACCTGGCTTTTTGTTGGTTTTTTTTTTTTTTTTTGAAAGGGGTGGTTAACTAAAATTTTTAATTTGTCATTAGTATTTTATTATATGGATGTTTTGCCGGCATCTACATCTGTGAACCACCTGGGTGTCTGGTGCCTTTGTTGTGGGGTATCTACCAGAGAAGACTGCTCAGACATGGGTCTAAGCCAATAGAAAGTCTTTATTAGCCAACTGGCAACTACCCTGGGTGTTCAGGATCAAGCAAGGTTAGTACATTTCGAGACTTTCCCAGAACTATGGATTTTAATGGATTAAGTCTTTTTTCATTTTGGAAAATGGTGTTGTCTACATGCTGAGTTTTATGGCCTGAATGGTACGTTCATCATGGAGTCAGTTGTGCCAAGGTCTGGGGGACCTACTAAGGTCTGAGGCCGATACATTCCCCACTGGTCTTAGTGAATGAATCAAATTGTGGACTTACCCTACTAAAGAGGTGTAGTTGGGTCAGGCAGTGGTGGCACATGCCTTTAATCCCAGCACTTGGAGGGCAGTAGTCGGATCTTTGTGAGTTCAAGGCCAGCCTGGTCAACAGAGCAAGTAGTTGGTACTAAGGACCATTAATTTTACTGAACTGATACAGAATTGGCCATATACTTTAAGATGCAGGGCCCTGCCATTAATCCATTCAGAATGAGAATTAAAGGTCCAGCCAGTGCTGATAGACCCAGGGGGTCTAAGAAAACAGACACTGGTATTAATTATTTGACTTATGTCTTTGTCTCTTTTTCCTTTTGAAGGTTTTCCTCAACCATGACAATTTTTTTTCTAATTACTCTTGATCAATTATCATAAAAACAACAGGTTTCTCTTTGTCTCCTGAGCAGTAAGTCTAAGCCTCTCCAATTTTGTAGGATCATTTCTGCAGGGTAATCCAACTTTTGTTTTAATTCAGAAATGGAAACTATTAATACCTCTAGGTCCTGATGAACCTGTCTACTGAGTTTGGAAAGCATCAGAAGAGGCACATTTAATCACCATTGGTACATGCCCACCAAGTAGTCTCAGGGCCCAGGAATATTGCTGTTGTGCAGGTGAGTTAACCCATTGAAAAGTGAGCATCAGCCGGGCGGTGGTGGTGCACACCTTTAATCCCAGCACTCAGGAGGCAGAGCCAGGCAGATCTCTGTGAGTTCGAGGCCGTCCTGGGCTACAGAGTGAGTTCCAGGAAAGGCGCAAAGCTACACAGAGAAACCCTGTCTGGGAGAGGGGGAACAAAAAAAAAAAAAACAAGAAAGAAAGAAAGAAAGAAAAGAAAAGTGGACATCAGAGTAAGGGAAAGTGCCTAGATGAGAGGTTTTGGACATTAGACAAGTTCCAGTCCCTTGTAAGTCCTCTAATATTAATTTGGGCTGCCCCCAGTCACAGTGAGTTTGTCAATCAATGGGCTGACAGTCTAACCAGTAAATCCTGGCTGATTTCTGGAAATAACTCTCTCCCCAGGGTCTCTTCCTGTGGCATAGAGTCTGATTCTCCAGGTTTTCCCTGTAAGGCCAAACTCTTTCTTAAGGAATTCTTCAGGAAGCCTCAGTTTCACAACTCTTAATTTTTGCAATGGAAATTCCCTGGTTCCTGGCAACTAGGGGGCCCAGCCTCAAGGCGTGCATAGAATCATAAACTGTATTCCTGTCTCAAAAGATAAACTCCCGTATCTTTAGTTTCTCCAGTATAACCAGAAGCTTAAACTGGGCACCAGGGAGTAAATAAGATAACCACATTAGTTATCACCTCCCCTGTATCTGTCGGTCTCAGGTCCCAGGTCTGGGCCTTAAGGTTTGGACCATAACCCTGTATTCATACCAAACATAAGACTCAGGAGCAGGGAGAAGGGCGGTGAGCAGAAGGGCCTGGGTCCCAATGAAACCTTAATTGTAATGGGTCCATAGCCCGGAGACTGTCTATCTGGCATCATCATCTGCTGCTTCTACTTTCTTGACCTGAGTGTGGTGGATCCACAATGTAATGCTACTTACTTTCGCAATCAGAGGAGTGGAAAGAATCACCATCGAGGGTCCTTTCCAAGTGGGTTCCAGCATCCCTTTTGTTACCAGCTTGACCAGGTCGATGTCGACGGGCAAGGGTAAACTGGTGGTGGTCCCGGAGGTTGGCTAGGTCTCTCGGCTCGTCCAATGAATAGCCTATGTGGAGGGCTGGAGGGCTTGTAATGGCTTGAGAAAGGAGTGGCTAGAGAGTTCTGTCAACTGCTGGTCCCTGAGCTAGAGAAGCGTGGGGGGAGGTCTTCCAAAAATAATCTCATAGGGAATAAATCCCTCCCTATATGGGGTGTAGCAGGCTCAAAGTCAAGCAAAGGAAGGAAGTCTGTCCACCCTTCACTGGACTCTAACGAGAGTTTCATTGTTGTTTTTTAATGTCCTGTTTATTCTTTCTACCTGTCCAAAATTCTGAGGTCTATATGCACAATGAAGTTTTCAGTCTATGTCTGAAGCTTTAGCTATTAATTGAGAGATTTAACTGTGAAAGCTGGGCCACTGTCAGATCCCATTGCTAGGGGAAGGCTAAATCAACACCAGTTCCTGGAGGAGCTTTTTAGCTACTATTTGAGTAATTTCAGTCTGGATAGAATGTTTCTATCCACCTGGAAAGGGCATCTTTAAAAACCAGCGAGTATTTGTATCCTCCCCTGGCAGGCTGATCTCAATGATGTCAGTTTTCCCAGAGTTCACTGGGGTGTTGGTCTCTCATTTGAACCCCTTTTGGGGTAAGGGATCTCTGTTTTGAATTAATTGAGCATAAATCTGGCACCTGGCTGAGACATCTTGTGCCAGGCTATCCAGCCTAGTTATAACATACCCTGTTCTGAACAGCTCAGAAAGCTTTGTGAACCCTAAATGAGTAGCCTGGTGAAGGGCAGTTGCTAGAGTCCTTCCTGCTAGTTGTTTCTGGGAGAATGATCTTTCGCTTTCCTGTCCTCCATCAACGTGTGGGTTCGAGCTGTCCATTTCTTCTTTACTGTGGAGTGGATAGGCCCCACCGATCTGAGGGCCATTTGTCAGACAGCCAGGTCAGCGGTTGGCAGTGAAGGACAGCAATTCATAGGGGAAGCCAAACATTTTCTAGGAGGGCCAAGATTTTCTAGTGTCCTTTTTCCAGCAGGGAGAAGCCCTCTTTCTCTATACATCATACCGTAGACATGCCCATCTGAGAGCCTGGGTCAGGTTGACCAGTGCTGCTCTCTGGGCTAAGGTCCCTGGCTTGGGCCCAGGTCATTTCAGTTTCATCTTTCATCTCATAGCAGTCATGGATGTGCACCTGTGGGCTGTCATCAGACAAGAGAGTAGCAGGATTGATGGCAGTGGATTTCTCAAACCAGACCTGAGGGTGGGCCAGGAGTAGGACCTGGTACTGGTCACACAGTCATTAGACAGCCGGCATTCTGGTGTTCCTCGGAGGAGGGTCTCAACCATGTGGGGTACTGTGAGTTATAAGATCCTGACCCAGAGTTAACTTGTTTGTTTTTCATTAGACTAGCAGTAGCTGCCACAGCTCTTAGACAGGTGGGCCATCCTGTGGCTTCATACAGGGTCCAATTGTTAGGACAGGTATATCACAGCATGTTTCCATGGCCCCAAAATTTGGGTTCAAACTCCTATTGTCTTTTGTTTCATGGACAAACAGATCAAACGGTTTTGAGGCATCTGCATACTAGGGCTGGAGCTGAACTCACTTTGTAGCCCAGCCTGGCCTCAAACTCACAGAGATCCGCCTGCCTCTGCCTCCCAAGTGCTGAGA